TGTGTGTGTGTGTGTGTGTGTGTGTGTGTGTGTGTGTGTGGTTTTATTCTGGGATACAAGTGCCTCAGTGTTGAGCTTCACTCCCAACACTTGTTCAAGGCTGTTCATTTTCTTATTATGGGGTGGGGATAAATGGGGGTGGTTCTCCGGTCGATACCTTTAATTGCTCCTGGGCTGTATCGATACCTACCCGGTTGTACTGCTCCATCACGAGCCACTGGGAACAGGGTTGCCCGGGAAACGGCCGCATGGCAACAGGATCAGAGCCTGGGGGTTGTCTGCTTCTAGGTCTGCTCCCATTTTGCATCGCATTTCCTCACTAGATGGTGTGCGAGCCACTGGAGAGAACACTTCCTCGCGCGCGGCGAGCTCCACATCCAACAAGAACAACAAGAAGAGAGGGAAAAAAAAAAAAACAACAACCTGGGGAAACTATACCAGCGGAGCATTTCTTCACGGGAGCTGCGGKGTTGTTGGTTGGCAAAAGTGTGGGAATAAACAAAGCGTCGCTTTTTTTTGTGTGTGGTGGTGGTGGGGGGGCAACAAGAAGAAGACGACTTGGTGGGGGGAGAAAAGAAGCGACAAGAAAAACCCACAGCTGTGATGGACATAATGACTGCGATGCAGGATGCTTGTGTCTCTGATCAGTGGCTTACCGCGATAATTTTCAGCCTTTGCTGCTTCCTGCCGTCCTGCTTGCCCGCCGGACAAACTGTGGACTATTCGTCGGTTGAAAGTGTGGTCAGCAGACAAGGCGACACGGCGCTACTCAGGTAAAAACAAACCGCACACATCCCGCTTGCTAACGCAACTTCACTTCCTCGTGCTGCTCGTTCTGTTAGCCCAAGTTAAACACACTTGACCCCTCGTTCACTCCTTTTCCAGCAGCTTCACATGTCAGCCCGCTGCTTTTGGAGCGGAGTTATTTAGCGGACAATAATAGGTCGTGGTCCCCCCCCCCCCCCCCTCCATCCCGTGCTTGTTTTTCTTCTCAGGCAGTTTTGTGAAGGACCCCCCACCACCCGCCACTGCTCGGCCGAGACTGCGAGCAAAGTTTTCGKTAGCACTTTCGAGCTGACTGGGGGTACAAGAAGTGTTTGTGTAGGTGTTGTGTTTGGTTTTGATTGCTCCCGGCAGGTGGGACTGTGGCGCCTCGGATTATGTAATTTGACGACATTAGGTTCGGTGCCGCCGTTGAATCTGGAGGAGGGCTGGGGGTGTTGGGGGGCGAAATGATGCACGGATGAAGGTTATGTCGCAGTTTCAAAAGCGGGCAGGCAGAGGAGCGCGTGCGTCTGTGGCCGCTGCTGATCTGAATGGAGTTACGGCAAATGACGTGCAGCAGTCCCCCCCCGCCCCCCTCTCCATCCTTCACCCCCCCCCCCCTCCATCCTCCCTGCCTCCCTCCATCACGTAGGCTACGGTGCCAGCTGCACAGGTAGCTGCTCGTTAAAGATTGAATTAACAGCCACGGGCGGGGTTTAGCTTCCTAATGCACTTGCAAGCTTGTGATAACACATTCACTGTTCAAATGTTACAAAATAAGTGGTGCATCAGCACTTTTCAAAATATTCTTTCAAGTTGATTTGTATTGTGACAGTAAAAAAAAGAAGAAGTCACAAAACACAAAGTTGTGCAAAATCTTATCGAAAACCCGCTTTCCTGTGCCTTCAGAGGAAAAGGMTGGAGGGGCCAGTTTCTATATGAGTTCTGCAGATGTTGACTCAGACAGAGGTGTGGACCTGAACACAGAGCAGCCCACTCAGCTCCACTTTGAAGTCGTTGTCGTTTCCTGATTGTTGAGATGAAGGGGCACCAAAGAGTTGATCATTTTGTCCAACTTTTCAGCTGTTTGAGTCATGTTCTGCCTGAGCCCCCCTCCCATCAAAAACACCTGCACCTTGGACTATCTCTTTTACAGAGGAGTGCCTAATTCCCTGGTATCAGTCTGAGTTGGCTGTGATCAAATGGGTGAAGCTTTGCGTTTACTGGAGCAGATTATCTCGGTGCTGTGAATCAGTTGATTTAACAAGTTGCCTCCCACCCCGTAAAACAAGGCAAGCGTTTTTTATTTTTATTTATTTTTTTAGTTTTGAAGCAGGCCGTCGCCTCAGTAAATGCCATGCAGAACATTTACACTCACCGGATGTAGAGAAATGATTTTCACGATGATTTCACTGCTGGACTCTTGGAGTTAATTAATGGGTTATTCAGCTCTGCCTGTAACCATTCATCGGCTTTCTTTTTTTCAGGCCGTCAGTGTGACGTTATCACTTTTGCCGGGCTACTAAACATCTCACATTCCTGCCTAAATCTAATTGCCTACCATATGTGTCTCTGACGTGACAATAAAGACTTCTTCTGTCTCTACACTGTCATTTTCTCAAATCACAAGCGACTAAGAATGTCATTTTCTTTCGTTTTTTTTCCAGTGGTCTTGAGAGTCGGGCATTGATGCATGAATGAGTCGTCTCTTTAGAAACTAAGCATAAAACGGTGCATGCCTGTTGAGTTAGTCCATTGTCTACACCCCTGACTGGTAGAGGGTTTTTTTTTTTTTTACAGTGCCCCTAAGCTGATTGCTTGCAAAGAATGTGAGCATTCAGAAACTCTGTCAAAGCCAGAAGCGGGCAATTATTCACTGCCTCTAGATTATGGAGTGGTTCCTGAGAGGTGCGTCTGCCTCAGTATGTTAATTTCCCCAACCTCCTTAAATCTTAGAGCTGCATTTCTGCTGGTCCTTTTTCATGTTGGACAGTGGGTCCATATCAATTAAATGATTGGGACCTCTTGAAGACAAAATGGTTCCTTGTGCTGTATGTTTTCAGCCTTTTAATCCCATGGCGTTCATATTGTGGTAAATTTACATCATTCATAATGTCTTACCTGTTTAGCTTATTCACAATTTGTTTCATACTGAGGTCAGTGCACTGTCACAGGAGGAGCATTGTTCACATTAGCAGCGCATCCTTCAGCTACACTTACAGGTTTGATGTCATTTGGATTCAGCTGAACAAACCCTCCCAGTAAATGACTCATCAGGCTGTAAACTTGAAGCGAACAGCAGAATGACAAGAAGGTTCCCGTGGCTGCCAGGAAACCCATAGCATCAGTTGCTGCTGTTTCCACGTGGATAAGCAACCGCAATCAACAGCATGTGTTGGTAAATTTACTCCAAGTGCACTGAATTATTTAAGCTAAGTCATGACCTCACAGTTAGGAATTGCAGAGGCATTCTCAGTTTGGATTTTGAGTTACATCTCTTGTTTGAGAATATCTTAATTATTTTTTATTACCGCATGGTGAACACTTGACAGACGTTGCCATTTAGCTTTAAATATTTTGTTTGAAATTCCACAGAACAGTAAGCAGTGGCGAAGCCAAGAACCGGGAGCAAAACGTTACACCGAGTAAGACAATAATCTTAGCTTAGTTTCGTTATTTACTTTGACAGTTGGCCCTCAGCCACAAATAAAGCCTGCACCACAGGCCTTTGTCTCTGTAATGGTGCAAAATTGACCTGTCACTTGTTTGAAAGTCTGGTATTCGTATAAATCTAAAATCATTGCCTCGTGTCAACAGACCGGTTGATGAAAATCTTTTCTGGCTGTACATGATTGTGGTGGAGCCGCGCTTTGTAGCTCTATCCAGGACGAAAACAGTACCATGCATCATTTTCCCTCTCTGTGTCATTATTATGGTTCTGAAAGGTCTTGACATTTACTATAAGCACTGGTGCCAGAGACAACGTCTTGTTTTAAATGGCTTACTGTCCCTACCCTGGTACATACGCTGGCAAGGTGGAGCGGGAGAATATTAAGTGACTGTTAAAGCTCCACAGGAAACAATTTAAAGGAAAAATTGTTGACTGTCTCCTTACCACAGACCATAACCATAGCTGAGAAGTGCTCTTACTTTTAGCGCTTCAGCACTTTTTTTAATTAGGCTACAGCCAGTTCTGTTAAAGAAGTCGAACTGCATAAAGAAACCACCTCATTTCCAGCAGCCTGGTTGGGGATCTAGCGAATATTGTGGGGCTGTGAATACATCAGTTACCTGGCAGATATCAGCATCTTGATGCGCTCATTTGGGTGAAAAACCCGCTTTACCTCCTCTGACACATCTGTGTTGCACTCCCGAGTCTGTCACTGTTAATTAAACAGCAAAAAAAACCTTCTTCCACGTTTCCTGCAACAAATGTTTAATGCGATCAGTGCATTGTCAGCACAATGTTGCCTCGTTGCACAGTCTCTTGGCTCATCGTGGTCCCCAATCGACAAGATCCTTTATTTTACTTTTCATTTGATCTCCCCTTTATAGGGAATATCATAAATAAAACTGTGCGCATGGGGGATAGGGGCTGTTGTTCAGGAGTGGCTCAGATAGAACCATCTCTAAATAGACATTACAGATGATGGGAAACTGACCTTCTCTACTGCCAGAAAGCTAACATAAAACAGCGTATACTGTTGTTTAAGAAAAGGCTGCTAAGTATTCAATAGATTTACTCTGTCATCCATTTGTAACAAAAATATTTTAGGATGGATGGATGGATGGATGGATGGATGGATGGATGGATGGATGGATGGATGGATGGATGGAGATAATATGAGCAGAGTCTCAGTAGGCTTTTTTTCCAGCTTTTTGGAAACAGCCTAAAATCTTTTAGCCTGAGAAATATATTTTTAGACATACATACATAACACCTGAAGTCTGGTACTTTATTACAAAGTGAACCCAGTAGTCCTGTAGAAACAAGTGGGGGGGGGGGGGKTTGACAGTTTCCACAGTTATTACAGTAGACTGGAGAAACAATAAAAGCTCAGTTGAACCTTTTGGTGCAACAACAAAAAGTGGCAGTTTTTAAATCTCTTTCTCTCTTGTCTCTGTTTGTAGATTTGACATTTGAAATTTTTGTCATTGACGTAACAGGATATTTTACACCTGCTCACTTTTTCTTTCCACAAAAAAAAAAAAAAAAAAAAAAAAACTTTGACGGAAGCCATGTTTACTCATTTTTCTTGGTCTGTCAGGAGTTACCCTGATCCCTTCCCTATTAAATTTAAAACATGCCAAAGTTAAAGAGTGAAAGGAAGGAGCAATCAGCACCTGCAATCCCCCAATTTCTGCAACTATTTATCATATTAATAAGTTCATTATTGTTCAAAAATAACTGCAGTAAAATCTAATATAACTTCTCACCAGTATTCTAAATGACCTGGCCTTTTCTGCCACTAATTGTTTCTAATCCTGTCATTTTGCCTCACTATTAAGTCAGCCAGGTACTTGTAAATTAAAAGAATGACTAATTAATTAGACTTTTTCAGGCTCGGAGAGGTCTACAGTTAATCAAATTTTAATCTCAATCAAAAATTTGCCTCGCCAAATCTAAAGGAAGGTGATTGCCGAATATTGAGAAGAGGTGATTCCATAGCACACGTTCCCTTTGTGCCAAGGGCAACGGTGCACCCTCCTGTTTCCCATAGTCATCAGATGCGCTCCAGGGCTTCCACTCAGTAGCTCTTTAGAGCACTGTCAACACCCGGGTAGTGAGATGCATTGATTACACTGTCAAGGACAGTGATGATGCCCCTTTTAGCCTAAACAAATAACAAATTAATAATGCACACTTTGCTTCGAACTAAACAGGGGGTCTTACTACAGGTTTTGTTGCTCGAGGTTATTAGCAGTGTTACAATTTATCATATAACTATAAGAAACATCCCATGTGTTTTAATTTATCAAAACAGCTGTCAGGTTTATGAAATTAAAC